ATTTATTTCAAAAATAAAAAATAATACATATTAATCTCTTAAATAATATAAAATATTATAAATTTAGAATATTAGTAGTTGTAGTAATTGCGTTCGTCCGTTCTCCGATATCGTCTTGCATATTGACCGGGATGGTTGGATTTAGTAGCTATCGGGCCAATGTAGGCCGAACATTCTGGCCTCTCATTGGGCTTTCCAGCTACAAGGCCCTTTATTTGGCCCAATCAATGAATTCGCAAACAATAAAAATAAGAAACTTTTTCATAGTATACATTGCCCGACTCTTATATTACTGCTTCCCTAAACTTTTTCTTTTTTCTTTGTTAATGAAAATGTTATAGTTATAATAACATATAATATAATAAATTATTATATAATTAATTTTTATTTAAATATTTATTTATAATATTATATATTTGTTTATTTAATATTATATTATATTTTATTCAATATTAACTAAAATTATAAATTTATAATTTTACATAATATTATAATTATAACCGTATTTCATTTGTATCGTACATTGTTTATTTCTTATTTTACTTTTATATTATTAAAGTAAAAATGAAATGATTATTTATATACGAATATGATAAGCCTTACATTTAAAAAATATGATAAAAGTAAGATTATATATATACACACACGTGACGGCTTGTGAATCCATTAATATCTAGCGTTTGAAATATAGTATTGAAAATGAAGTTAATTTTCGTTTTTTTTTTAATTATTTCTTATTTTTTTAATTGTACAAGTTCAAATTTAGAGCACTGAAAACCAGAGGGATTGTGGCCTCGAGGAATGCTAGGAGCACTCGCTCCAACACTCTCCTTTTGGCAGCCGCTCATCTATTTAGCCACGTTGCCACTGATTTTCATGTTTAACTGGGAACCGGTAATTGTAAGTAACTAGCTAAAAGACAAAAAAGTCAAACTAAAAACTAGAAGTAGGAATTATATGATAATCTAAAAGTAAGGATAAATTGGATGAAAATTTATTGTTAAAATTTAAGATAAATTACAGGTTATAAATGGTATAATTTAAAATATTAAAAAGTCAATTTTATAATATTTAATAATTAATTTTTTATTTTTTAAAACTTATAATATTATATATATTAATTAATTTAATAATAT